TCAAGACATTGCCTTAATGGAACAGAGATATCAGGGCCGTTGGAATGAAGCAATGCTTGCAGACTACTGCTGGTCTGTGTGTAGGGATGCTCCAGAAGTGTTTTATAAAAGACAAGCTAAACGACAGCGATCTTACAATGAATCGGATGGACTTAATTGAAATTTGGTGGTACAAACTTCTTTTATTTGTCAAAACACTAAGAATAATGTTTTTTTTATTAATTTTGTACTTAAAATATTCTAAAAGAAACATAACAATATTGTTTTATGTACTTTCACTTTTCACATATAGTATAACTACTCTTTAAGATTAAGTACTGTGTATCTCAAAAACCAGAGCTAATAAAAATTTTTAATTGTTATTTTCGTTTTCATCACCCCAAAATTACTAGAAATTGACTAATTTAGTGTAGGAAACATTAAAAAAATATTTTTTGTTGTGTTGTGTAATCGGAGGTGAGTTTTCAAGTATTATTCCTTGTGTCATCACAGGACTACAATATATCCCATAATACAAGGAATCCAACAATAATTTAATTTCAGGCGTTTTTTTTTTTTAAATAACTTGTGTAACACCTAGATAAACTCGATATTATTATACGAACAGTCATTTGGGGACAAGGAAATGAGGAAATGTCACATGCATTTTCATCCTCTTCCTTGATGGAGGCTAAGTACCGCATAGCGGTACCGCATAGCGGTACTTAGCCTCGGTTCCAAATATATATTTTTTATACCAATACCTTCACATTTCACATTAGTAATATTATGTCTTCCGGTCAAATTTATCTTCAGAAATTTATAACTAGATAATAGGTTATCCCCCTCGTTGTGCAGGAGATTGGAAGGGTGGTTTTCTTTTTCCCAAACACCCTGTCCAGTTTTCTCTGTCGTGCACGACCTCCCTCCGTGGTTGGCTATTATTTATTAGTTACGGTTTTCCTTGCACATTGTCAAACCATGTGTAGAAATATGTCAATATATCCATTTGCCAAATTTTGAGTTTTATTGGGGCATTATTGTATCGTGGATAATTTATAGATTTGGATCTGCTTGCTATTACGTTATATAGGGTTAATAGTAAATCTGTTGGCGGCGCCCTTGGAACTAAAATCATTTGTATAACTCACCCCTCTCGCTGTTTAAAAGCTGGCTGTGAGCATATAACCCTATCCCGTTTATATCTAAAACACCTCACTTATGAACTAATAATTGAATAAGTAAGAAAGAAAAAAAAATTACGTAGATGACGAATTTGAAGAAAGTACTTCAGCCTACTAATAAAAAATATACCCCTTCCATTACAAATGTATCGAGAGTTTATGGTAAAAATTATAGTTCAATGGAAACATGGTTTCCAATTTTTCAAGAAAGTAAAAAAAAATTGAATTCAAAGAGCCACAAGCCGGAATAGATTGGGAACCTCTGCTATATTCAATTAAAATAAAAAATAGTTTTGACAATTCGAACCACAGATCTTTGATGTTACGAGTTGCAATAGAAAAATACAGTGAAGAGCTACATTTTTAGGAAATACATGCTGAAAATTAACAAAATAACCACGAACAAATTACCATTATTTTCATCTTTATTTCAAATTTATCATCTCTTAGGCTATTGAAAGGTATCATTATCAATCATTTCCATAGACAGAAAAAATCTCAAAGTTTGCCTCAAATCTGATATTATCAAAACATCTGTTTAATAAAATTTTATGGAAGAAACAGAGTTTAGATAACTGTGAGTTTTTACGCTAATTAATCAGATAATTAACCACTATTATATTTATTCAAAAATATATCTCTCCCAAATGATTATCCGATTTTATCTTGTGACTATGCGACCTTTTCATGCTTTCAATTTATCATCTAATGTACTGATTTTCCAGCTCTGAAAGAATAGTTAATACTTTTTCTAAAATATTTCATTTTCTCACAAGTCTGCACTGTTAAGACCTTCCAGCTATCTATTATCGCTACTTTTGTAAGCTCCTGTATATTACCATTCACTTGACTCTATTTCAGTTTTTTCTGAATCATAATTGATGGATCATGCTTGGTGACATGTTTGTTTTAGAAATACACCTTAAAAGCTAACTACGCAATATATTTAATCCAAGATAATTTTCACATTTACCCCAGTTCAAAGTAACGATAAAATATATTTACTTAAGATTATCGTAAATATTGGGTTCAAATATTTGGTGATATGACGAAAACTATTGAATTTAAATAGTGAATACTTATTAAATATTTAACGAGGAACGTATCTTGAGAATGTTCGAAATACAGGCTGATTCACGGTGGATGGCACATTAGACGTTTCTGGTGAACCAGACAACGGATCACTTTGAAAATTTAATGGAGGGCATATTCGGACATTCTCTAGCCAACTAAAATATTTTCGACAATGCGGTGTTGCCGCTTCTATTAGAAAGCAGTAGCAACTTTGATTTTTCAAATGGAACACTC